CCGGAAGCAGGAGGGGGAAAAACATGGGGGGCGTGGAAGAACCAAGGCTGAAGCTACCAAAACCCCCAAGTCTGGGTCCCTACACAAACGGGGCAGCATCGGGGCGTCCAGGGAAGCGACAAACCTGAGCGCGTTGCAACAACCTACCCTGCAACGCGCAAGCTGCCTGCACCCATGGGAAATCATCAGCAAACTGGGTGAATGGAGTCACGAACAAGCAACAAAGCTCGCAGGACTCAGGATCGAATGTGTCACCGACCCAACAGGCAGCATGACGGAGGCAAAAACAAAGAGTCACCCTGAGACAAAGGGACAGAGCAACCCTCAACTCGCACAAAGCGAGAGGGGACGCAAGGGTCTCCACTATCGACCCGAGAGCCCCCGGGGGGTTTCCCAGGGCCCCTAGACTGGGTCTGCTAGGGGTTATCCCAGGCAGGGCACTGCTAACCGGCGCCCCAAACTACCAAGCAAACTGCTAAAGCTGAACCCACGGGACGTGTCCACTCGCGAGGGCGAAGCAGGGGGTGCCACCACACAAACGAACCTAATATAAGGGGGGGGGGGAACACAAGGCAGACCCCCCCTACCAGGCAAAAACAAATATAAAAGAAAAACCACACAAGTGGACAACGTACCCAGAGGGAACAGAGCCGGCCGCTGTTATAGGTGAAAACTAGCTACGCAGTACCCTGCGCCCCACCAGTGCTATAACTACCACTTACCCCAAGGTAAACAAGGGAGGAAAACCCCCAAACCCTCGGGGCGGCCAAACGCCAAGCAGCAAAAAGCCAACAGAGGTAGACCCAAGGCGACTTGTGGAAGGCAACCCCAAGCCCCAAGGGCGGTACTTACAGGGCACTCAGGGAAGGTGACCCTAAGCACATGCAGCCCGAGTACCTGAGAATACTACTCCCAGCTCACACGACCACCGTAAGAGCAGCACTGCAAACAAGTCACAGCACTGAGACAAGACCGGAGCTGGAGCCACACGACCGTGCATGATCCCATCAGCCGAGGAACTGGGGCGGGGATCGCCGGCACGGGGGTCTGGGACTCCCCCTTCCCCCTCCCGGGGAGGGGGGGAGCTGTGCAGACATGCGGCGCGGCTCGTGTGACGTCATGCTTGTTAGTTCGTTTTCCTGGGGGAGTTCTGTCCACTCGTTTGTCGATTTTTGTTGTTAACCAGAATAGGGGTTTGTTTTGTGGCTCTTACCTTTCTGGGTGCCTGTCCCGGTCGATGGCAGATATAGAATGCTCCAAATCACATGTGCATTTCTATGGGCCATTGCTCCCCGTGCCTGGTTGATACCTGGTTGATACCTGGTTGATGGGGTTCTGGGAGTTCTTCTACTCCCCAAGCCCGGCCCGAGGCCAGGCTTGACTTGTGAGAGTTTGGTCCACCAGGCTGTTGCCTGGTGGACCAGGGAACCTCCGGCTGGACCAGGGAACCTCCGGGTCTCACCCAAAAAGGGGGCCAGGTTTTGGCTCGTGGTCCCCGGTAGGCCTAGAACTCCACCCACATCGACTGATGCAAAATAGTTAGGTATCCATATCAGCCATGGATAGCTCCGGGGAGCCGTAGGGGCTCCCCCCAGAAAAAGTGTTGAATGTATTGAAACGCAATTTTCTGGGCGAGACCCAGAGAATCTGCAAAGCTATCCAGGCTGATATCTTACTATTAGCTTTCTGGCATAAGTGAAAGTGTATGGAGTTCTTGCCTACCGGGGACTACCAGCCAGAACCAGGCCACCTCAGAGAGGCACTAGGAGCAACGGCTTATAGAAACCCCCGTGTGGTTGGAAGAATTTCATGTCTGCCATCGACCGGGTCTGGCACCCAGAAAGGTAGGAGCCCCGAAAACAAACCCCTATTCTAGTAAAAGCATTGCTACCGAAAGCCGAATGAGTGGACAGAACTCACCAAATGAAAACTAGCATTATGTCATCACATCACCGCACCGCCATCTGTGCAACCTCCCCTCCCCATCCCTGGGAAGGGGAAGGGGGAGCCCCAGACCTCCGTGCTGGCAATCCAACCTCCAGTTCTTAGGGTGGATGTCAAAAACACGCGAAAACACTGACGACTGGAGGGAGGGAAGGATGACAGGGAACCTCCGGGTCTCACCCAAAAAATGGCATTTCATTACATTCAATGTTGGTTTTGTAGGGGAAGCCCCGTTGGCTCCCCGGAGCTACCTCACCAAAGAGAAAAGAAAAAAGGACCCGGGTGGTGGACGCCACGTGCCTTAACTCAAAAACAAGACAATAGGCCATACCAAAGGACCCTGCAGTCAACCCGGGAGACCCGAACCCTGGAACAGGAAAGAAGGAAGGGAACCCGGGCAAACCAAAGTGCGCCCACGGCCACAGAGGCCAAGACGCGCAGAGAACAGTGAAAAGTCGCAACCGAACACAACACATGATGCACCCCAGGCCCGACTAGCCAAGCATCAACAATCCTAGGACCCCTCCAGGAAACAGCAGACCCAAATATCACCAGAAAAGGAGGCGACTGCTGCAAACAAACCTACCACCAGGACCAAACGAGCAGAAAAAATTTGTGTGGCAGAGGAGAGCCAGAAGCTCTCCGACCCGACCCCCAGAGGCCAACGCCAACAGGAAAATGAGACCTGGAGAAACAATCTTGAGTCGAAAGGGATACGACAAACCGAGGAGAAGAAAGAGAGAGAGAACCTGGGGTTACAACCAGGAAGGCAAGGAAGCCAGGAAGGCGGAGCCGGTCGGCCGAGCGGACAGCACGCTGGACTTGTGATCCTGTGGTCCTGTGTTCGATCCCAGATGCCGGCGAGAAACATTGGGCAGAGTTTCTTTCACCCTATGCCTCTGTTACCTAGCAGTAAAATAGGTACCTGGGTGTTAGTCAGCTGTCACGGGCTGCTTCCAGGTGGTGGAGGCCTGGTCGAGGCCCGGGCCGCGGGGACACTAAAAAGCCCCGAAATCATCTCAAGATAACCTCAAGATAATCTCAAGAAGGCACCGGAAGCACATGAGCAGGCTGGAGGTGTAACAACACAAGATACAGCTTGTGGAACGGAGAAGTAACATCAACACCGAACGCAAGCTGGAGTGGCTCTGCTAGCCTTGTACGATACGAGGCGATAGTATTCGGCATTAAATTACGGTCATGGAACAACCACAAAAGGAAGGACAAGACAACCTTATAAGAGACCGAAGTACACTTACTCAGGGATAGGAAAACTGGAAGGACTGCCAGGAAACTTTATACTGCCGCCGAAGACGAAGCACGCAGGTGGGAGACCAACAACGAAGCCACCTACGCCCATACAAGGGACGAAAAATCTCAAGACAAAAGCCCCAAATGCGAAGACTCAAGGAGAAGAACGAACCAGCTACGTACCTGGCTGGACCGATCTGCAAAAAGAGGCGGAGCCCCAGAAGACCCTCGGATTTGAACACAGAGCAAACAGCGCTTGAATCAAGGCTGGGCCGGCCACCAAAGAGCCAGAAGAACAACACACTTCCAGGAGGCTCCAAGCGAGTCAGTACCTAGGACGTGACGTGTACCCTGAACGTGAAACGAAAGGAGAGCCAACCTCGAGAACTCAGCAGACAAGTCACCCGAAGCGACCAAACCCAAAGAGCCAAGGATCGCATCAAACCCCACACGGTTCAGGCAAGAACCACCAGGAACAGTCCGAATGGAGCCGGATCGTTGAAATGCGAGCGACCCTGAAACCTCCAGAGCGACATCCACACAGCAGCGAACCCCCACATCGTGCCATGAGCTTGACGGAAGGACGGACCTCACTGTCCCAGGCCAGCCTGGTGAGCATAAGTCACAAAGCCCCAGCCAAGAGACGACACGTGTGTATGAAGATCGAGCGAGGGCTCAGGTAGGTGCCAAGGCACGAAACCCCTAAAACCCCAAGAGGAAGCCGGCGACACAGCAGCCAACATAAGGCCTCCGGGGGTCGAACCCAGCAATTGCGAGAGGCGGAAGGGACGTCCCCAATGGAACCAAAACAGCCGATGAACAGCCGATGAAGGAGGGCCAAGAAACCCAGGGGTTCAGACGGGACAAGTCCAAGATGGCCTGCAGGTCCGCACAGTCCCATTTTAGAACTGGGAAACAGGCGGGAAACCCACCCGAGAGACGTCGTCATTACGACCACACTCAAGTGCACCCACTCCAAGACGACCTGACAGAGTGCAGGGAAAGAGGCCTGCCCTGCCAGCCCTGAACCCCCCCTGAAGGAGGAGGAGCCACCCAACGCCACCCCAGGCCGCGAGAAACGACCTGAAAAGTTCACAATAGTGAACCAGGTGTGAGCGAAAAGAGCAAGCCTCCTCCCCATCGCCCCGTCAATGGGGCGAACCGCGAAAGGGCCAACGCCCCTTACAAGAACCCAGTCTGTGCACAGAGCGAGCATCGCGCCGACCAGGCGCAGCCGGGACTGAAGGCGGCACCGACTCCGAAACTGGCGCCTGTGGCCTACCCCGACGAGCGGAACCGCGAGCCCTGGCATGACCCCTCTGGGAAGAACCCACCCCAGGACTCCCGGAGAACCAACAAGTCAGACATCGGATGGCAACTGGAAGAAGTCGCCCGCATGTACTGCTCGACCGCAGAAGCCACAAACAACAAAAGACATAAGGGCAAAGACAACCTAAGAGCTAGGGATTATACAGATTCCAAGGAGAAAGCAAGAACCACCTGCTAACACGTGAGATGCGCAGCAAAAAACTGTGACAGCACATCCCGCAGGATGGGTGCAACAGTTTCAAAAGCGCGGACGACACACGAGCAGCCGAGACCAAGGCGCAAGACCCAGGAACGGCCCCAAGCGCCTCCACATCCTCAAGCCAATTCGAAGACAGCTCCAGGAGGGAAAAGAAATGTAGGACCGAAGCCAATAAGTCATGGGCGCGCAAGTCCTCAGCCTGCTTGATCCCTGCTTGATGGGGTTTTGGGAGTTCATCTACTCCCCAAGCCCGGCCTGAAACCAGGCTCAACTTGTGAGAATTTGGTCCACCAGGCTGTTGCTTGGAGTGGCCCGCAGGCCCACATACCCACCACAGCCCGGGCCACAAGCGCAGCTGACAGGGAAGGAACTTGCACATGAAGCAGAACCACGCCAACATCCCGAAAAAGGGCAGGAGCGAAAAGGCACTCATTAAGGTGCTCAAAGTCACCCTCCAGGTTAACCTGGACCACAGTAGATGCCCCATGCCACTCAACCTTGCGGGTACAACAGAAGGTTCCCAAGCATACAGCAAGAACAAAGGGCAGCCCGCAGGAGAGGACAAGCCAAAAACCTCACAACAAACCCAGTATGAAGACGAAGATCCAAACCTGAAAGAAGACGGATCCATTATGGAGGCATACTCCGGGTTGTGCAGGAAGTAAGCTGCAATGGCTGCCTGCACCTCAGTAGACGAGACGTGGGAAGCCGAAAACCTCCAGAAAGACGAAACCGAAGAACCTGCAGGGACACGGAACCGAACTCGGAGAAGAGCCGAACCCAAATCCAACTCGTACGCAAAGGGGGGAAAGGAAAACCCCCACTCCTTGAAACAGTAAGCCCCGCTCAGAGGGTCGGAAAACCCAGGCGGGATCCAACAGGGCCCAAGGCCCCCAAGCCAGCTCCTCACCAACCCTGGGAACCTCCACGTCAGGTCCCGGGGACGAGTCATCCTCCAAAGCCCCGGCCTCACAAGAAAAGGCCGAGGCGGCCGAAAGAGTAGGAAGAGAATGGGCCCACTGGTCAGGCCCAGGAGCTACAGCTGGAGGAATAGACTCGAATGCCTCTATCGCCCCCCTGGAAGGGGCAATCCCCGAAACCACCCGAGTCTCAGAAACCTCTAAACCCTGGCACGACCACGAAGCCCTCAGATGCTTAGGAGCCAGTAGCAGGCGGTGGGGGGAGGGGGGGGACAATGTCATCGTCAGATTGGGGAAAAATAAGTCACAAACAAGCAACAAAGCTCGCAGGACTCAGGGTCGAATGTGTCACTGACCCAATAGGCAGCATGACAGAGGCAAAAACAATGAGCGTTGCCCTGAGACAAGGGGACAGAGCAATCCTCAAACTCGCACACGGCTAGAGGGGACTCAGGTCAATCGCCAAGCAGAGGGCCTAGTTTACCAACTGACTGTGTCGGGCGCCACTCTAGTGCCTTCTACCCTGTGACGACACAGATTCACTGCCAACTGTTCCCATTGTTTTGATTTGTCACGAGACTGGAGTGTTCATTCCATGACTTTTTGGATATATCTGCACAATCTAGGAACATCCGTGCACCATTTCGGCTCCTAATGCACGCATTGTGTCAGTGATGGCTAACTGGTGGGTGGATGAGCAGGGAGGGTGTCTTGGGGAAATGGGATGGCTGGTAGGCAGGGTTAGCAGGTGACCGGGCAAAACATATGGATGGAGTGGTGGCCGACTGACTGGCAGGCAGGCTAGGTAGCAGGCGGGTGGGTGGCTGGGTGGGCAGTTTTGGGTGGGTAGGTATGTATATGGATTGGTGGCCAGCTGGAAAGCAGGCAGGGTGGGTACGTGCATGGGCAGGGAGGATGGCTGGGTTGGCGGACTGACTGGGTGGGCCGTGTGGATGGATTGGTGGGCAGACTGGGTGGGTGAGTACATTAATGAGAGGGGGGAGGGCTAGGTGGGTTGGTGGGTGGGCTGGTAGGCAAAGCTTTTGGTGGGCAAGCAGGCAGGCTGGGTGAGTTCAGGGGGGCAGACTTTGGTGGGTTCGGGCGAGGGGTCTTTAGACGGACTTCGGTGGGGTTTCGGGCAGATAGGCAGGCTCAGGTGGGTAGGCGGGCTTGGGTGGGTAGGTTTAGGCAAGCTTGGGTGGGCCCGGGCGGGTAAGCAGGCTTGGATGGGCTTGGGCGGGTAGGCAGGCTTGGATGGGTTCGGGGGGCTTAAGTGGGTTCAGGTGGGTTTGAGGGGGCTTGGGTGGGTTCAGGCAGGCTTGGGTGGTTTAGGTGGGTAGGCAGGCTTGGGTGGGTTCGGGCGGGTAGGCGGGCTTGGGCGGCAGGCGGACCATCACAGACTGGCTGTGGTCACACCAAATACCCTCAGCTCCCCATACCCGCTACATCCTACCGCCTCCCCCTCCCCCCAAGCCCTCAAGGCACGTGTAGACGGGTATTAATACAGTCCAGATTCTCTGCAACCTTTCTACCAGATGGTGGACTTAGATGCAGACTGCCCTGACTGACTGACTGACTGCCCTGGCTGACATACTTGTATACAAGAAGGTACATTGGGTTTGTGAGAGAACATCACATTTGTATTCTGTAAACATCGGACTCATGTTGTTAACAAATTGTGACTGGTTGCTACCATAACTGTGAATGCCTAACAGCCTTTGACTGGTAATAACTGAATGACTTGTGACTGGATGCTTGACAGTCAGAAGTCAAGTACAATTGTACTGACTAATCAGTACAATCTGTATATGAAGTTTCTGAAAATAAGATCAAAGGGAATGAAACAAATGACAATTATAGTCTTTTGCAAAGGCTTCCAAGAAAGCTCGCATTGCCTCACCTGCACCTGACTCATCACATGTTGACCCAAATGCGTCAACATCTGAGGTTACCTTATCACCATTCTTCTCCATTTCGGTCAACCCCAACTCCATCAACATCTACCACCACCTCTTCCCTGTAAATAACTATGCTACATCAACAATGATCAACATAAAAAGTGGATCAGGACTTCTTTTCTTGGCAAGTACAAACAAAATACTGTCGCATTTATGCTATGAACCTGTCAATTTTTCCTTTAGATTTCTTTCCTACACTTCTCGTTTATATATTTTTCCTATATTTCTCGTTTACGAACTTACATTGTAACCGACAGGTCTCATCCCTCAGGGGGTTCACAAAGCCAGTGGTCCTCTGTATTAAGATTAACTAAATGCAAATTCTATCATGTTTCATGTCTTACTGTACATGATTTACATGAAAAGCTTTTAGACACACAATATTCAATTGACATTTACGCTGTATGAATCCTGATGTGCTTTAATAGACTTGCTTTTGTTGAAAAGACTTTTTTACACTCTGAACAGTGATATGGTTTCTCTCTTGTATGTATCCTCTTGTGTCTTATTAGATGTGATTTTGTTGAAAAGTATTTCTGACACTCTGAACAGTGATACGGTTTCTCTCCTGTATGAATTCTCATGTGTGATATTAGATGTGATTTTGTTGAAGAGTATTTCTGACACACTGAACAGTGATATAGTTTCTCTCCTGTATGAATCCTCATATGTGATATTAGCTGTGATTTTGTTGAAAAGTATTTCTGACACACTGAACAGTGATACGGTTTCTCTCCTGTATGAATTCTCATGTGTGATATTAGAGTTGATTTTTGTGAAAAGTTTTTTTGACACTCTGAACAGTGATATGGTTTTTCTCCTGTATGAATTCTCATGTGTGATATTAGAGTTGATTTTTGTGAAAAGTCTTTTTGACACTCTGAACAGTGATATGGATTCTCTCCTGTATGAATCCAGATGTGTGATATTAGATCTGATTTTTGTGAAAAGTCTTTTTGACACTCTGAACAGTGATATGGTTTCTCTCCTGTATGAATCCTCATGTGTGTTATTAGAGTTGATTTTTGTGAAAAGTCTTTTTGACACTCTGAACAGTGATATGGTTTCTCTCCTGTATGAATCCTCATGTGTGATATTAGATGTGATTTTTGTGAAAAGTCTTTTTTACACGCTGAACAGTGATATGGTTTCTCTCCTGTATGAATCCTCATGTGTGATATTAGATATGATATTTGTGAAAAGTCTTTTTGACACTCTGAACAGTGATATGGTTTTTCCCCTGTATGAATCCTCACATGTCTTATTAGACTTGCTTTTGTTGAAAAGATTTTTTGACACTCTGAACAGGGATATGATTTCTTTCCTGTATGAATCCTCATGTGTGATATTAGATGTGATTTTTGTGAAAAGTCTTTTTGACACTCTGAGCAGTGATATGGTTTCCCTCCTGTATGATTCCTCATGTGCATTATTAACAATGATTCATATTTAAAGTCTTTTAGACATACTCTACAGTGATATGGCTCTTCTCCTGAATGGGTATTCATATTTAAATTTTTATATTTTTAAAGTAGTTTAGACAATGAATATTTAATATTGATTTTCTTCTCTACATTTTTGTATGCTATTATGCAAGATGTTTTCATGATATAATTTTGAACATTCAACACTGAAGATGTTTTGCTTTTGAATAAATATTTGTACAGTTTACTAAGATTAACTAAATGCAAATTCTATCATGTTTCATATGTTTTACTGTACCTGATTTACATGAAAAGCATTTACATTATAAGTCTTTTTGACAATCTGAACTGTGATATAGTTTCTCTCCTGTATAAATCCTCAAGTGTTTTATTAGACTCCCTTTTGTTGAAAATACTTTTTCAAATTTTTTTTTTTTAGAAGTAAATAAATGTATTTACCTTTAAGCTAAAGTTATGTGATCCAAAAACCCTAAGTATTGTCTAATGAATTATCCTACATTTCATTAGTTAAGTCATATAGACAATTATTATTGGTATTTCTCTCCTAAATACATTTTTGTATTATTGAAAAATATTAGAGAAAAATCTTAGTTACATATTCGTGATGACTTAAAATGGATGAGCTTTTGTTCATTACTAAAACAAATATTCTTAAAAGATGCATAAAACACTTGGACTGTCAGATGCATAAATAATACAAGTTACTACATGACAATCAGTATAGAACATCCAGCTCAGTATAGAGTACCATCAACAGATGACACTCTGTATCAAATAAGCAATACCTTGAGGTGCTTCCAGGCCTTAGCGTCCCTGCAGCCCGGTCGTCGACCAAGCCTCCTGGTTGCTGGATTGGTCAACCAGGCTGTTGGACGCAGCTGCTCGCAGCCTGGCAATTGGAATAATCTAATTCTATTTTGTAGGAATATAAAGTAATTTAATTACATGTCACAGACACAAGAGAATGGAAAATTTTTACAATATGTAAACCACCTGTAATTCATAAATAGTAAGATAATACTGTGCTTATTATATTAGAAAATATGCTAGACATAAAATATACTCAATAACATTTCCCATGAATTGGCAAGTGCAAAAGCAAACATCCAAATGCACTTTTCCACATGCGTTCACCAGCAGGAAAGTTAGTGTCTGTGTACAACTTTATTAACAATCAAAAATCATGTAGCAAGTTTTTCAGATTTAACTGTCTAAAAAAATATACAGTATTATATTATAATATTAATACCTAATACCTTTAAATACCTAATAAATCACAAACAAAAAAGGAAGAGCGTGGTAGGATAAAAACAGAAACAATATAGGAGGGGACCTAAAAATTCCCTCTAATGCGTTGTGTGTCGTTTCCTCCGAAGCTAAGGGTCCTCTTCCAGCCAGAGATGGTACTCCCTTATGTCATATATAAATATTATGTATTATTATAAATAAAGCTCCAGCACTCAAGGATGTTTCATTATACATATAGGAACAGCAGTGAGGGATGTCTTATTATAAATACAGTCACAGTACTGAAATGTCTCATTATAAACAAAACTACAGAACTGAGAAATGCCTTATTATAAAAATAACCATAGAATTTGGGATGTCTTATTATAAGTATAACCACAGAACTGAGGGATGTCTTATTATATATACCCACAGAACTGGTGGATGTCTTACAAATATAGCCGTTGCACAAGTTTCAGGTACAATGGGCCCTCATGTGGTTTGTTATTTGTGTATGTGAGTTTAACAAGAAATGTAATGTGCGCATGTTCATAATATTTTTATATCCCCCTATACCTTCATGTAAATATATAAAAAAGCATTAAGAACACTGATATATTATCTTACTTGGAGAGGCTTTTTAGCTAATAGAGTAAATTACCTAAGAAAAAATTCACAATCACTATACAGTTTAAAGATTATTTTTTTAAATGCTCTTTCAACATTTACAATAACTCACATAGGGCCCTCATGTGGTTTGTTAGTGTATGTGAGTTTAAAATCCAATGTAATGTGTGTTCATAGGTTTTATATCCCCCTATACCTTCATGTAAATATACATTAAGAACACTGATATATTATCTTACTTGGAGAGGCTTTTTAGCTAATAGAGTAAATTACCTAAGAAAAAATTCACAATCACTATACAGTTTAAAGATTATTTTTTTAAATGCTCTTTCAACATTTACAATAACTCACATAGAAGAAAAATTGTGTAAGGTTTTAATATGGAAATTACATATTAAACTTGTTTACATTGGGACCTGAGGATAAAAGCATCCTGCAATAATTAATTTAAAATAAAACCATTTTCTTGCCAAACAAAAATATTAAAAACATAAATAGTACATACACATAAATTAATAAATACCAAGATTTTAAAATTAATGATACACTAAATTTGTATTTAAATTCACATTTCCTTTGTTACCATAGTGCCTGCAAGATGTTGATAATGCCTGCACGGTGCTTCAGATGTGTTACCATGGTGCCATAGTGCATGAGATGTTGATAATAGTGTGTGTTCACTTGAACGAACAATATGGGGGAAGGTCAAGTTGTTCCACCGCTGAATTCGTTCTACCCGTCAGCCCGAGGCTGTCTCACCCTTCCATCTGAAGAGAAAAAAACAATCCTACATCCAATATAAAAAAAATCACAGAACATCTATTTGTTGTATATTTATCATTTTGAACATGGCACATGATGGCACGATCACTAGTGAACAATTCCATATCAAAATCATAACTATGTTGTAATTATTTGAGGTTGCAAAAATGATGTAATAGCCTGCATTTCCATAAGGCAACTGTGTCAGTCTTGATATAAATATTCATAAAAAGATCTATTTATTATGAATTCTTCATTTTCATTATGGCATTTGATAGAACAATCACTTACAAACAATTTGGTATAAAAATGTTACATATATGAGCATTATTAACCCTTAACCACCATGCTGCACAGCTTCGTAATATGACACACCCGTGGTATGCTAAAAATAAATTTTTTGCAAAATTTTTTTCTCTTCTTATATTATTAAAATGCAGTCTCTGATCATGGGGAAACTAAACAAAAAAATATTGTATGCGACATATTTTAGCCGTGGTGGAGCTGAGAAGTTGAGCAAATTATAGGCACCGAGTGAAAGGGAGCTCGGGTTACGCGACTCCACCACCCCACGGGGTGGATGCCTTATTATAAATACTGTATAGACTTTCTAAATACAGTGGAACCTCGGTTGATGACTGCCCTAAAAGACGAATTTTTTGGAACGCGACGTCAAATTCGTCGTAAAATTTTAATTGGAAGACGACGGTTTACTTAGAATACAACTTCTGTTCGTAAATGAATGGGACAAACGAGTGCGTGGTGCTTGGCACGGGGCGAGGAACTCTCAGTCAGTTTGTTTACATAGTGACAAACTCGGTCGCACTTCAATTCTCTGAGAAGAATTTCACTGGTTTGCCTGATTTTTTGTTTTTTTTAACATAAAAGTTCTCATTATATATCATGCCATGGGTCCCAAGAAAGTCAGTGGAAAAGTTCAACCTAAGAAAATATTTGTGAGGATGACGATAGAGGAAAAACAAGAGATCATTCATAATGAAACAATGTCATGTCTCACTACAGACAAGTGTTAAAACATAGGGAAAAACAAGTGTCGCTAGACAGGTTTTTAGTGAAAAAGTAAGCAGTGAGCCACAAGCAGGTCCTAGTAGTAAGCAGTCAAAACAGGAGAGAGTCATCACCGCTTGATGTTATAATGGATGGGGACTCACCTTCCAAACACTAACACCTCTCCACCTCACCGTTTTCCATACGCCAACAAGAGTCCTCATTCAAGGTAAGATAAACATACAGTACTGTATTGTAGTGTTATTCTGTATAAAATGTATTTTTAAGTTAATATTTTTGGGGGTGTGGAACGAATTAACTCAATTCACATTATTTTCTAGGCAAAAATTCGTTTTGGATGACGAATTTTTGGATGACAACGTGTCTCCAGGAACGGATTACGATCGTGAACAAAGGTACTACTGTATATAGAGAATATATAGAGAAGCGGCAGTTTGCCACGAATATAAATTTTCACAATTATTTTGATGTCTCATTCGTTTCTTCTCTTGTTTTTTTTTTTTTGCTGTACTATTATCCAAAAGTGTGTAATTTGTGGAATTTATGTAGTTCAATGTGTGGAACATTGCTATGATCAAAATTATGGGACTCATATATGTGCCATGTATATTATATTCTATGATCAATCCAACAGTGTTCTTGCTGTTATTACACTATATATACACAGACGTTGTATATAACATCAATGCTTTTGTGCACCATAATGAACCACAAAGATCATTTGTTGAGAGTTTATCTACACAGAGCAAGAATCCAAGGTCAACCTAGCGCCCAACAGCCAAGTGTGGCAGGAGCTGCCTCCTGCCACACACTGCCACCCATTAATATTTACATAATAATTTCAGTGTCTGTGAATCATTTTTATCTGTTTTTTTTGCAGTTATATTATTCAATAGTGTGTAACATATTGAATGTATATACAGTATCTACTCAATTTAACAGCCTCTTTTATACCGATCTGCCGGTAATGACGACTGGTTTGGGAGACCGGTATCTAGAGCCACATATACCGGTCTGGTGGTCGATATTACTGAAGGTCGGTATTGGGTTTGTTTTGGCATCAGGGGGTCCTCACATGGCAAGCAGGCCGCCTACCTCTATCATCCCCTCCTTCCCCCTCACTGAACCTCCCCCCCACTCCTGCTCTCCCCCCCTACACTCTCACTTCTTGCCTCCCCCGCCCCCCCAAGACCGTTCTGGGAGGTGGCTCAGTAGATTGCCAGCCAGCCAGAGACAGCATGGAGAATCTCCATCTAAAACAATAAAGCACTCATGAAACCAGTATTTTATAGCTTTTTATTATCCTAATAATATTACTAAACAAAATCTGTAACCAAATATATATATATGATGATGATGTACATCCAGAATTTAAGAAACAAATCTGGTTAACTGGGTCAAGTGAGTGAGCTTGTCAGAGTGAGCCGGTCCCTTCCCCACCACCAACACACCTCCCCAACCAGCCCCCCCCATACATCCCATACACACACTCTCTGCTTCACCTCAACACCCATCCCTCCCTCCCTCCCTCCATCCATCCCTCCCTTCCTCAATCCATCCTCCCATCCCTCCCTACCTACCTCCCTACCTCCCTCCCTCCCTCCCTCCCTCCCTCCCTCCCTCCCTCCCTCCCTCCCTCCCTCCCTCCCTCCCTCCCTCCTCCCTCCCTCCCTCCCTCCCTCCTTCCCTTCCTTCCTCCCTCCATCCATCCATCCATCCATCCTTCCATCCATCCATCCATCCATCCATCCATCCATCCATCCATCCATCCTCTCCATCCATCCATCCATCCATCCATCCATCCATCCATCCATCCATCCATCCATCCATCCATCCATCCATCCATCCATCCATCCATCCATCTCTCCCTCCCCTCTCCATCCATCTCTCCCTCCCTCCCCTCTCCAGCCATCAATCCCTCCCTCCATTAATCCCTCCATCCATCCATCCATCCATCCCTCCATCCATCCATCCATCCATCCATCCCTCCCTCCCTCCATCCATCCATCCATCTCTCCCTCTCTCTACCCATTCATCCATCCTTCCATCCATCCATCCCTCCATCCCTCCATCATCTATCTCTCCCTCCCTCTATCCATTCATCCATCCTTCCCTCCCTCCATTCATCTATTCATCCATCCCTCCCTCCCTCCCTCCCTCCCTCCCTCCCTCCCTCCCTCCCTCCCTCCCTCCATCCATCCCTCCCTCCATCCATCCCTCCCTCCCTCCCTCCATCCATCCCTCCATCCATCCATCCCTCTCCCCTCCATCCATCCCTCCATCCCATCCCTCCCTCCATCCATCCCTCCCTCCCTTCCTCCCTCCATCCATCAATCCATCCCACCCTCTATCCATCCATTCCTTCCTCCCTTCTTCCATCCATCCCTCACTTCATCCCTCCCTCAATCCCTCTGTCCCTCCATCCATCCATCAATCAATCCATCCAATCCTCTCCCAGCCTCCCTCCCTCCCTACATCCATCAATCCATCCATCCAATCCTCTCCCTGCCTTCCTCACAAGCTCTGCCTGCCTGCCTCCCTCCCTGTCTCTCCCTCCCTGCCTACCTTCCAACCTCTTCCTGCTTGCCTGCATGCCCATCCACCCACCAGTCAGCCATCACTGACACAATGAGTGCATTTGGAGCCAACATGGTGCACGGATGTTCCTTGATTGTGCAGATATGTCCAACAAAGTCACAGAATGAACACTCCAGCCTCATGACAAATCAAAACAATGTGCCATGAATCTGTGATGTCACAGGGTAGAAGGCACTAGAGTGGTGTTCCAAGTGACTGTACAAAATTTATCTTACCCGAATGTTACTTGAAAAATTACCGACACTTAACTTTGGAAATACCGGAGCTCTGGAAATAACGACCAGGGTACAGCCCCATTATAAGCCGTTAAATCGAGTAAATACTGTAGTTAAATGTGTGGAACATCACTATTCTCAAAAGTATGTAGCTCATATATGGTGACACATATATTATATTCTTAGAAAAACCAAACAGTGTTCCTGTTGTTATTACCCTATATATGCATGCTATATATCACTACTAACATTTATATGCACCATAACATACTAATAAGCAGTTTTGGTGGGTATAGTAATGAAATCATCAAGACAATGCGTCCAATATTCTAAATTTAAATTTAAAATTTTGCCCTGAGAGGCGAGTCTATTGGGCAGCGCCACTCATCTTTAACTTAAGGTTACCTTGAGGTGCTTCCGGGGCTTAGCGTCCCCGTGGCCTGGTCGTCAACCAGGCCTCCCGGATGCTGGACTAATCAACCAGGCTGTTGGATGCGGCTGCTC